ACCCCGAACGCTAAGCCCTAAACCCTAAGCCCTAAACCCTAAACCCCAAACCGCAAAGCCTAAACCCTAAAACCCTGAACCCTAAGCCCTACACCCGAAGCCCTAAACCCTAAACCCCAAAGCCCAAACCCCTAACCCCAAACCCTAAACTTCTTAAACAGGAAGCTTCGGCCGTAAACGAATTTCAAGGCTGACTCAGCCCATGGGCTTCCGCGCGTACCATGATGCGCAGTGCAGAGCCTCTCGGACGGTCGTTTTTTTTTTTGAGGGGTTTGGGGTTTCGGGTGTAGGGCTTGGGTTTAGGGTTTAGGGTTTGGGGTTTGGGATTTAGGGTTTGGGGTTTAGGGTTTGGGCTTTGGGGTTTAGGGTGTCGTGTTTATAGTATAGGTAGGGCCTAGTTTACCCTAAACCCTAAACCCTAAACCCTAAAAGAGTTTAGGGCTTGTGGCCGATCTCTTTTTCAGAACTCCTCTCAGGGCTCCTTCAACGTCTCAGAACTCCTCAAGGAATAAGGGGCTCGAATCGTTTTACAAGAGTCCCTAAATCCTAAACCCTAAACCCTAAACCCTAAACCGCTTCTCTGTGGGTCCCAGAAGAGTTGCGTAATGGTTCTTTCTCGAGTTCCTTGCAGGGGTCTGTAGTAACCCTAAGCCTTAAAACCCTCAACCCTATTAAACCCTAAACCCTAAACTTAAATCCTAAACCCTGAACTCTAAACCCTAGACCCTATAAGAGTTTAGGAACTTAGGGTTTGGGGTTCCGGGTGCAGGGTTTAGGGCTAGCGTTTGGTTGCAGAGCCGATCAAAGAGCCTGCCAAGTCGGCTCGATCTTCGCCACCAGCTTGGCACGCCCGGTCTTTGCCATCAGGTTGGCAGGAAGAGCAAGTAACCTTTAACCGGCTTTCGCCTGCTTGCGTTTCTTTATTCCGTTTCTAACTTCAAAGGTTGACCTTTAGTTCCTCCAGGAAGCTTGACAAGTAGGTCATCCTAATCCCTGAACCCTAAACCCCAACCTTAAACCCCAAACCCCTAAACCCTTCAAGGAACCCTTGAAGGATTGTTGTAAGAAGCCCACTATACGGGCCTAAATAATTACAAATGCCATTTTGGGGGGCTCTTCATTATATTTATAGCTTAATGCACCCCAAAGCCTGATTCCAACTATGGAGGCTCCCTTTATCAGAACACCTAACCCCTAAGCCCTAGGCTCTAAACCCTCCACCCTCAACCCTAAACCCTCAACCCTAAACCCTAAACCCGAAACCCTCAGCCCCAAACCCTCAACCCTAAAAGCCCTAAAGGCCCTAAATCCTAAAAGGCCTTAAATCTCGGCTCTCCGAGGATTGGGACACGATCTATCTCACCAATGCCACGCACGAGTTCCAGGCCGTTTAGGGTTGAGGGTTGAGGGGTTTAGGGTTTTAGGGTTTTAGGGTTGAGGGTTTAGGGTTCAGGCTTTAGGGGTTTAGGGTTTAGGGGTTTAGGGTTTAGGGTTTACGGCGTAGGTTTCATGTAAGGTATCTGCCACGGGGTTTTTTAAAGGGTTCTTCCAACGTTTAGGAGTTTAGGGATGTAGGGTCTAAATCGAACGTCTAGGGTTCAGGGTTTGGGCTCTTCATAACGGCCTCAATCGTTAGAACAAGGTTCCTTAGCGTTCCACAATATTATAAGTAATAGTAGAATACGCCCCAAAACTCTATTCTGATTTTTAAGGCCCCCTACTTAGGTTCCTTTTGAGCGGTTCGGCTAAGAAAGGTCGTGTATAAGGAAAGTAGAAAGTTTGGGTGTTTAGGGTTTGAGGTCTAGGGCGTAGAGTTTAGGGTTTAGGAGTTTCGGGTTCAATGGGGTTTAGCGGTCAAGGTGTCTGCAATCTTTTTGCAGAGTTTTATGTGGCTGCTTGAGGTTCCTATCGTAATTGTAGCATAATCTGCCCTCCAAAGCCGTAGTCTAATTGAACAAGCCTAAGCTGCAGCACTTAGGACTTTTGCGGAAGTTTTGAGCACTTGCACCCTGAGGGTTGCGGGTTTTGGGTTTGGGGCTTTATGCCACACCAGTAGGGGTCTAAATAATGACCTGCACTAGAACGGGGTTCCTTAGTGATTATGTAGAATGGGCTCCATAGCCCTATTCTGATGATTAAGGCCCCCTATATCAAACCCTAGAAGCCAGTAGAGGCCCTTGCATCCTGCAGCTTGGACAGGAGTTCTACCGTGCACACTACTGGTCAGCCGTGCTGTGGAGCGAGGAGCATCGGGAATGGGGTGCAAAGTCGAAGTCAGAGGTGTTGATATCAACATCGTCCTTTTTTCACGGTAAGGTGTAGCGCAAAAAACCCTGGCACTAATCAACCTTTATCCATATTCTATTCTTCAGACTTCACTGGAAATGTTTAGAGGTTTGAGGCTTTAATGTCAAACGGTTCAATTGCAGGATCGACGACGCCTTGGATGGGTTGAAATCGCGGTTGGTAAGTACACTGCTTGAAGTTGTTTCCTAGTTTATGTGCCACCTGCCATAAACGAATTGCTCTCGCCCTCCATATCCTGAACCCTATAGAATCCTGTCCCAGACCCTACACCCTAAACCCTAAACCGAAGTGTTGTAGTACTAAGTCCACCGATCATCTGGGTAGGACGTGGGAGATGTAGAGCTGTAGCTGGATCCATTTCGCAGCTTCATGGGTTTAATGAACGAACTGTGTTTTGGGGTTTAGGGTTTAGAGGGCTTCTGGGAGTGCCACGAAGTCATCAGCATTAGATGCTATGAGCATCAAGAGGCTGATGAAGTCCCACACGATGGAGCTCAGCATGGGCAAGGCGCAGGGAGTCTCGAGTTGGGCTGCGTACTCCAAGCACGGCGTTTCCTCAGTGGTGGTCCAGGACATCCAAGTGCCACCCACCCTGACGAAGGCTGCCGCCATCACAACTGCAGCGGGCGTGATCACTGCGGCAGCTGCGGCAGCTAACGGCGGAGTTGTCCCGAACAGGAGGGCACCCGGAACCGAAGGTCGCGTGGCGCACTTGGAGGCGGCATACCAGACGCAAGTGCGCCAGTGGGAGGTCCAGAGCCAGATCGCAGTCGCGCAGGGCAAAGCAGCTCCGAGGGCGCCCCCAGCCCCGGACTTCAGTGCAGCCTTCTAGAAGACCCAGAGCATGTCCGGGAGCTCGACCTTGCTCACAAAGCCGGCTCAAGCCAGATCCATCAAATTCGAACCCGCGAGCGCCAAGAAGAACAGGTGCAGATTTGTTCGTGTTTTTGGTATGTCCATGTAGATGCATGCGGTACTGGAGTCGGTCTGTATTGCACAGGGGTTTAGGGTTTAGGGTTTAGGGTTTAGGGTTTATGGTCTAGGGTTTAGGAAGCCCTACACCCTAAACCCTAATATTCTGCTAGATCTGCGAGATAGCGTCTTCTGCTAGACAGTGTCGGCTGTTTGGCTTGGTCTGGCTTGGCTTGTAAACAACTGTCGGCCCGGAGCGGGAGACACGAATGCCAATATATAGCCCCTAAACGCTTGTACCCTGAACCCAAAACGCCAAACCCTAAATCCTAAACCCTAAACCCTATACCTTGGAACCCTAAACCCTAGACCCTGAACCGCCGCTTAGGGCTACGTATTTACTACTCACTAGGCCTTCATAGACAGGGGTCAAGTTATAGAGCCCAGGATTGGATCTTAGGGCTTTGGGCTTTTAGGGTTTAGGGTTTAGGGTTCAGGGCTCAGGATTTAGGGTTTAGGGTTTAGGGTTCAGGGTTTAGGGTTTAGGGTTTAGGGTTCAGGGTTTAGGGTTTGGTGGGGGGGGGGGGGTTGAGGCGACTTTGTCGTTCATTACAAGTCGGACGGAGCTTTGTAGTAGTTCGTAGTAGTTGACGAAAGGGGTAGGTGATCCGTAGGGTTCGTGTTCGATTTTCATCCAGATGTAAACCAACGGGATTACTAAAACAAGCGTTTGTTCATTTTAGGGTTGAAGGTTTTAGAGTTGAGAGTTTAGGGTTTAGGGTTTAGAGATAGGGTATAGGGTTTTTGTAGGTTCAGGACGCTGTTAGTTTTGTTACCCGACGCATACCTACTTGCCACCCCGGATCCTTCAAGCAACGATGGAGTCTAAGAGCGGCTTCTCCCGTAGGTTTTAGGGTTGAGGGGTTTGGGTTGAGGTTTAGGGGTTTAGGGAGTAGAGCTTAGCTCAGGGTTTAGGGTTCAGGGTTTGGGGTTTAGACACCAAAGCGTGCCTGTGTTTCAGTTGGGCGAGACGGCGAATTGCTCTGCAACTCAGCTGCAGAAACTTGTTCCTTCATGCCTTTGATTCAGGGTTTTCCTTTAGGTTGCCAAGATTCCACTCCGCAACCCCAAACCCAACAAGGCTTTTGGGTTCTAGAAAATAGGGGACCCTAATATAGTACCCTAAATAGTAGGATCCTTACTATAAGGACCCCCAAAAAGGTACTCCTTTCTTAGACTTAGAGGCTGTTTTCATTGAGTTCTTTGAGGTTTTTGGAGCGAGCGGGATGTGGCATGAGGTTCTAATCAGGCCCTGGGCTCGGATACTCTTGGCCGTGGTTTTGCCTGTTGTTTTCTTTTTGGGTTTAGGGTTTAGGGTTTAGGGTTTAGGGTTTAGGGTTTAG